CTTAATATGCTTTCCGAAGCACGGAAGCGCTGAGATACAAAATTTTTAGTGACCCATTCTATGATCGACCTTAACTAAAGTAAGCTAACTTCGGCATTGCAGACTGTAAGCGTATAACTCTACGCCATCAAGCTTATTGGTTACTTGAAAATATTTAAGGTAACTAATCTGCAAACTAAAAGCTTGAAATCAAAAGAGTAAAACTACTCATACATATTCTGCTGTATGAGATGAAAACAATATTTATATGACTTATCCACATACTAGGATGAATATTTTTTTGTAATGTTGAATTAATGAATAATAACTTACCACTCGTTCGTGGATACGCACATTAATTAGTATTAAGCAAATGCGGCAACGCAAACACTTTGGGTTGCGTGTTCCCTTTGCAAAAAAGTTTTCAGTGTGATTACTTATTTATAAATAATAAAAAAACCTATGTTAAAATAATATAAATATATTTATAAAATCATTTATAAAGACTGAGGCTTGGAAAGCAAATTCTGATTGGGTCCAATGGATTGAATTGAATCCTCATATTGAAAACAAGAGGATACCAAAAATGATTGATTTATTTCAAACTAACTGTAATAAATAACAGCAAATCTGAAATGGATATTGTTGCTCTATTATCTTTTTTTAGCATTCCACCGTCAGCTTCGCCGACGTGGCTCTGTATTATAAATATAAACCTCCCCTTTGAATCACTCTGTACATATATTGCTGAAAAGAAAATTTTAAAAGATCTCAGCGTACAGACAGCGGGAAGCGATTTTTTTATGCTATGTATATGAATATTACAATTAAAGGTAATAAACTCTATAATCTAGAAGGACGACTTGAAAATTACCGTTCACAGTTTTTGTGACATACTACAAATTTTAATAAAACGTATACTGAATTTGTTTCTTTTTATGTACTTTATCTGATAGAAAGTGTTTAAGACGTTTTGGCAGATGTACAGTCAACAATACGTCAGGATATACAAAACGCTAAATATCCAATAGAGTTGAAATTTTAATCAGTTGGCAATTAAGTTCAAAACCGAATGCCACAATTTGATATTTTAGGGTTACGTTATATGACAATACTAAGAGATGCTGTGAATAGAAAAATGTACGGTTTGCTCTTATCTGATCTCGAAACGAAACTTTTTTGTAAAACGTGTAAAAAGCGAGTTTTTAAAGTCGTTATTATACTTGCTTAGTAAGAGTCGCATTAAAAATCTCTTATTACTTGGACCGAAATTGTAAAAAAAAAGGTTACACGCTTGATCTGATATTTTCTTGGCAAATTTTTATTACTTTCTTATTGCGTTCTCATAATTTAAGTTTCTTGGGAGATTTGGACATCGATTATTTTGCAAATAATTAACCTCTAAATTTTCGAGCAAAAGTGAAGTATATACTCAACATTGTAATAATTTAAAAATATATTTTTTTAAACATACTTTATTTGTATCTTAGTCTAAAGATTGAATTGCTTATTTGAATTTATCTAGGACCAAAGAGGGTGTCAAGACTAATCAAACGAGCCCAAATTGGATAACTTTAATTGGGATTGCTTCGTTTGATTACAGAGGTTCCATGGTTACCTTCCAGCTCCATCGTCAAACCAGCTTCGGTAGATAAATATTTATTTATTTTATACTTATATCTAAGTTATATATATAAGTATTATTAGTCTATACTAATATTATAAAGAGGGAAGATTTATTTATTTTTTGTTAACATAGAATAGGCACCGAAACTACTAGCACGATTTTAAAAATTCTTCACCTATGGTTAAGCTACATAAACGGGGTAGACTTAGGCTATAATTTACGCATGCAAAGTCGCGGAAACAGCTAGTATACAGCCCAGAATATATAAAACCTTTAAAAGCCAGGAACATCATTTTGGAGGCTACCGAACTGAAGGAGTAACTATATAAGTATAGTACTGGCGGCGAGTCACAGTAGATATTTTGTGGCTATAGTTTCATTAGGAACTGCATAGTCTGCATAGTATATTTATGTATGTAGAAAATTCCTAAAAAATATTGCTTTCGCCTTTTAGTGGGATAAACAGTATACTATTATCTAATTTAGCTAATACCCTATCTGCATACCAAATTTCATCAAAATATGTTAAGTAGTTTCAGCGTGATTGACGGACAAACAGCCAAACATCCAAACAAAGAAACTTTCACCTTTATAATATTAATAGGCAACAACTTGCCTTCAAAAGTAGCGACGGACTACTAAATCTCTGTTGAAAATGGGTTACTAATTACTCGAAGGCTTTTGTGTTGACTTCAAAATACACATTTTCTTTATAATTATTAATTACGCGAAGAAATTTCGGAGGTTATTTTTTATATAAAAAGCTTACGCCCAAACATGATAATAATTACTTCATTATATGTACTTTAGGTTTTTCGATTGATTATTATCGATTTGTAATAAATGAAGCGAAAACTATAGACTTTTTATGACTGTGAAATTAATTAGATATATAATAATTAGAGAGAGTTTGAAATTTGCAAGAATTCATATGTAAAATAAATGCAGTGTGCTAACATTTTTTAGCTATTACCTCGAAAAATACTTTTTGTCAAAGGATAGAGTTATTGTTAAGAAACAAAAGTGATGTAATCTTTTTTAAATTCTCGGTGTGAGGAATTATCTGGGATCCAGTTAGGAGCCCTCCGTATCCAACGTAGGTATGTGACTTATCTAGAAGTTGTAGATGTTTTACGAAAATTCCTGTATACCTACTGTTTTTTTAACTAGGTAAGGTAATTCAGTTATAGATAGTGACTGACATAAGAGATATACTCAAAGCATAAGATTTGTATTATGAGATATGCTTAAGACTAATAGTTCATACCCTAATTACTAAACTTGCACTTATAAAGCAAATTCTTCGATGCTGCATAACTTAACTAACAATTTTTAAATCGTATCAATGTAGTATGTAGTCGCGATTAGTATAAAAAAACGAGGAAATTTATATTTAGTAAAAGGAAACATAATTCATAAAGTGTTTATTTACTTTAATCGATCGTGTTCGGAGTGTTTGATTAATATGATGTCCCACTTTTGAAAATGCGATAAGTTTGATTTCAATCTGTTGGAAATATTATTGATTCTGGCCGACTACCAAGGTTTTTCTATAAAGATCTATTTTAAATAACGCGTCCGTTTTCATGATAAATAGATAATATAGGTTATAATTATTTACTTTGAGTCCCTGCGTCGCACTATGGGCCAGAACCGTGCGTAGCGTCTCAAAGATCTGTAACTTTTTTGTTGATTGAAATGAATAACTAAAATATGGCACGGAGTATATTCAATGGATTAACTATTTATTAATGAAAAAATTATTGCTAAATTATTAATTAATATAAAAAAATAAAGAATATAAAAAGACATTTTTAACGGAATTAGTTTGCTTAACTTATTGAATTACAGTTTTATGATAATTATAACTCCAATATTATATATTTTTTATTGCATGCAAATCAAACATTTTAATAAATGATTAATATAATGCAATATACACTGCAAAAAATATTTTTTCAAGTAATGTAAGAAAAGTAGTATATTTGAATATCTAAGAGGTAGACGTGTGCGCCGCGCCGCACCGATGACCGACGCCGCAGATCATGATACGCCGCCGCTGACCAGTTCGAAAGATCGGCGTAAACGGCGTGGGATGGCACGAACTGCGAGTAACATTCGCTCGCTCGGTTGCTAAGCAACGTAGTGTATTCTCTGCGGCACGTGTTAATTCCGTTCCGTATTTCCATATTTAGTAAAATTTTAAAGAATAAAAATAAAGTCAATGATCAGATGCAAACAAATAAGCAATCGAATCTTTCTTCTTTAATTACAGCTGTCAACAATGAAATCTTGTACAATTGATGTAGCACTCGTTTACGAGATGGTGTTGGCAGAAATCATAAATTCAATACTTACCCTTATTTGTCTACTCTAGCTAACCCGCTTCAAGCATACCTAGCGAACGTGTATTCTCTGTAGCTGGCCTTACTAAAACGGTTTAACGATTGCGTCTAACTGGAAATAATATGAATAAAATAATTTCAATTCATGATAATCAGTCAGTCAAAGGTCGGTCAGGCTTTACAGACTGTGGCGAAACCCGGGTTAACTGGCAAAAAGGTGATGTTTGTATGGGGGGATTGGAAGGGTATTATTCATTATGAGCTCTTACCGTCAGGCAGCATCATCGATTCTGAACTCTACTGCGAATAACTGATGAAATTAAAGCAAGAAGTTGAGAGAAAGCAGCCAGAATTAATCATTAGAAAGATGCAAGGTGTTAATGCATCTGTCCTGTAGTCCTTGCACCTATTGTCAAAACCACTTGTAGCGGATTCTTGATGAGAAGCCCTAAATTTTCTATAGTAATGTCCCTACCTACAAGATGGCAATAAGTTATCGAACAAAATAGTACCTACATATTGTTGTTTAATATCATTATGACAACGTTACATAATTTAGAAGAGTATAGTTGTGCCCTATTTGATTGTTACTAAAAAGAAGTTATTAGTTTTAATAGCTTTTATTTATATTTGTTAGGTCAATAAAGGCATTCTGAATTGTTTAACTTTTAATTTTTCATTATTTGACATTACGCCGCCGCCACTGAATTTTTAGCTCCACGCCGCCGCCGAAGATTTTGGCATCGGCACACATGCCTACTAAGAAGTTCTTGGCTTCGTTTATCAACTCCTTAGAGAGAGTGACTGATGGTTTTCTGATACTTGATATGTATGGAATACGTCTTCATTTCTGACGTAAATAGAAGACCATGAAATACGTCGTCATTCGTTGCGGACCTAGAGCATTTTCTAGCGTTATATAATCTCATTTTTTTGGATTCTTTATTTCGAGATTCTTGGGCATCCTCAGATAAGTTACCGATAGACAGAACAGCAAAATGTCTAATTATACTTTCTCCGTGTATTAAGATTTTATGCACTGAAGAAGGCTACACATATTTTACCACACATATTTTAAATAAAGATGCTATAAATAAGTTTGCATCTGAGACTAAGTCACTCTCATCTGTCAAAACTTGTTTATATTCACTTTGTCCCGATGAACCATCACATCCCCACTTAGTTAACAATTTGAGAGATTTTCTTGTTGGGTTGTAAATATTTTCAATCTTTAAGATGCGAGCAGAAGTGTGATCCAGCAAATCTTGTAGATTCACTTTAACAATTTGATTGCTGGATGGTGGAGGATAACACAGTTTTTTGGCATTTGTCAATATATTATATGATGGCAGTATATTGAAGTTTTTGTTAATCAGACTTGCTCGAAGAAATCCGTATTGTGATTTCGATAAATCCAAATCTGCAAAAATACTTAAAGCCTCATCGACCGTAAAATTTGTTGCATTGCGACTTTCGTGCAACAATTTTTCCTTCATCATCCTTTTTTCATTTCTATCACAATTCCGCATCATTGAAACAACAGTAGCTTCTAAATTCTCCTTCAAACCGCCTTGAACGTATGCATTATGTATAAAGTCGAGTTCATTTTCTTGTATCAAGTCCATATTTTTCCTTTTTTTCGATTTCTCTGAGAGATCTTCATAAGACTTTGGTTTTCGTCCACGTTCTCCAGATGTTTTAGGTGTAGTATCGAGCGGTGCTTCGAATTGTACCTTAAATTCACCGTCTATAACCACGATCTATTTTTACTAAAGAAACGTTCTTTAGTTCGGTTAGATTAGATCCACCGGTCATTAAAAACTGTTATAAGCCCTTTTTGAATTCGTTGCACAACTAGTTCACTTTTTGCAGTCGAAAAGTGGTAGTGTTCTTCTAAGTATTTTTGAATATCTTCTGATTTGGTTCCATGGTCAATGAAAAATTCAAGTACACGTCGAAGCACAACAAAGTCACTTATTTTGTTGTATAGGTACTTCTAACTACTCGTTTTTTTTTTATGGAGAATGGTGGCGACTATGTCAAAGCTCACTAAAATACTGGTAAATGAAAATATAAAACATCATCAATTTATACAGAATTTTCGTGTGATAATAATTATTATCTAGTGTCATTATCACGTTCCTAACCACTATCTTTAAAGTTGGTTGCTACCATTTCCTTCCTTTTCCTGCACCATAATGGGAAAATATATAAACAACATGATAAACAGTTTTGACATCCCGTGACCGACGAAAGTTGCTTAACGACAACGATCGCGGGCCGCGGCGCTTATCCACTACGCCACCGAGCTACTCGAAATCATCACAACTTAAAACATTTCTTGATATGTTTTGTATTTTCCCCCTATCAGGCATTTTTCGATTTATTTCAAATGGGGCAGATTTGGAAAAAAAATTTTTTTGTCCTCATTTATAAGTGAGTTATTCTATGTGATGCAACCAAAATTAGCGCATAGGCAGACAGTGCTAATGCTCAAAAGTCTATTTGACGACTATTTGATTTTAATAAGGAATATATTACATCTTAAACTTAAAACTCGGTACCTCTCCAGTTTTTACATAATAGTCTATTTAATTTAAATAGAGTACTTCATGACCATTCTTACCATATATAACACTTAAATATTGGCTTAAAAATAACGGAATTATAACCATGTAAACTGGTGGAACTGTGTTCTACATAATTAACATAATTTAGACGATCAACAAGCAAGCCTTAGTCTAATAGTAAAAAATGCGAAGTAATATATTTTAACTGTTATATAATATGTAGTGGACATTCAGGTAGACATGTGCATTAACCAATTATTCAATATCGAAAATCCATTTTTGAGACGCTATGCATGGTTCTGGCCCATAGTGCGTCAATAGGAACTATATAGTTATCCAAGTAACGTGAATAAAATTGGTCTACCTACATTGTGCATATGGTGTAAGTACAAGTGTTTTATTTTGTCGTGACTTTTTATTTTGAGTGTCGTTCCAGTGTTCTGCCCGGGGCGCCAAATTCTAATGTTTTGTCTAAGGTGCCAAGTGTCATTGTGCCGGCGCTGAATTTAGAAGTATTTGTTCTTTAATTACCAAATATTGAATACCTTTTGCTTGACATATTCGAAACTACGACTTTTCCCACCTAAATTATAACATGTCACTCGCGTCGTTCAATTACTCTCCGAACCTGTTTAATGCAAACAATCGAATATGTCCTCTTTATAATATTAGTATGGTATAAATGAAGCTGACATAGCAAAGTCGATATCTTTATAAACATTAACAATATTTTTCAGCTTACGTTTTCAAATCGATTATTTTATAGATTTAATCTGTCGTGAGCGTATTTGGCTAGCCATTGTATTAATTGATACGTTTAAACGATTAAAGCAATCTTTAGACTTAATGCTAACCGTAGACACAACATCGATAATGTATGCGTTTTCAATGGCCACAGGTAGAACATCACGCATTGAATAACTAATAACATTATAATTATTAAATCAATGCCGTTGATTCACATTCAAGCTGTTGTTGTTCCCATGTTTATTATTTCTTACAAATTCATATTTCTTTACATTTTTATTGATTTAAAGAATTTAACATTTGACGGTTACCTAGTCCTGTTTTCGGAAACGATGATATTTTGTTGTTGAATTGTAACCCTTGTTCAGATTATTTAAAAGAATTTTTAATAGGACGATAACGTTTTGTTGGAGTATTTTAACAATTCTTATTAACTTATCGTTTTCTTTTGACTTCGCCAGCGTCAATTAACCGCGTACGATGTGGCTTCCCGAATCATAGTTCCGAATCCCTTGCAATCTGTACCTCTTTATCGTATTAGTATAGATTTCCGATATTTAATAGGAATCTAGTATCAAATTGTGACATTTAATAAATCGTCGAGTTCTGATGAATCTCGCGGCAGCTAATTAAGCTAGTACAATAATTTGGTGTCGTCCTTGTAACAGATACCCGTTGGATCAATTGAGCGCGGCGTATTATTAACATAAAACAAGCAGATGTCACGCAGCAAGACGCTACGTGCGCCGGCGCCACTCCGCCGCCGATTGGTACAGTTAACACCAAAACAGTTATACAAAACTGTCAGATTTCTCCTCTTGATATTAAGTCTTACTATGTTGAGAGTAGAGTTCAAAATCAATTCCAGAAATTTGAGATATTGTGCTTGTGTGTACTAAGCACCAGCTTATGGCGCTTATTATTGTTTTTAAGGATCTATAGAAAAATAACCAAACAACGTAATCATGTTTTTTTTAAATATTTATAAACTTTAAAATAAGCCATGCGTATTCGCAAACATATCACGGATTTGCTGGACTTATTGACAATTTACAAATTTTCCCCCATTACCAGCAATTGAGTGGCATTTTTTGTTTCGTGTTAGGGATTATATTCCATATTTGGTTACTTTTCTGTACTGTTGTCGTAAGTTTCTAATCAACGTGCGTAGATCAAACACCACTAGCTTTTAATTAGAATTTTCAAAAAATAAATTAGAAATAAGTTATGAGCGTCGGGTATGTGGGTTAAGATTGAAATAAATGTATTTATCGAAATAACAACATTTTATAGAAAAGTTTTAGTATCTATCTTTTTGATACGCAAAGTCGATATAATTTAATGACAGATGAATGAGTTTTGAGAAGCATCCACCATTGTATTTAGAATGCGCTTTTTCATTTTTAATATCTGCTCAACTTATCTGATGGATAATTACTTAAGTATGCATATAGAACGCGCTACAAAAACTATTTTATATTACCACGAGATTTATTTGAAAAAAGTTTACTGAAATAGGTAAAATATTGCAGCTTTGTAGCAGATACAACGGCAACAGAACAGAAAAAATTGACTGCAACCGTAAAGTTTATTACATAGTGAATGTATAGTTGAGTATGAAATTTGACAATGATAGCACTATTAGTACAATGATATACATTGTAGGTTAAGGATTTTACTATATTAATCTACAGTGGTACTGTTGTTATAATTTATTATCTTTATAAACACAAATAGGTATTATGTAATAGAAAAATGACGAGTTGAAGTGTTAAGTCCGTCAATCTGATTTCCTCAACCCACAATCATTGAAGTTTTAATTATTATATACCTATTTATCTCTCCCTGACTATAATATTTACAGTCAAATAATTATTTAAACAGTCTCAATATCTACTTTAAATGTAGCTGATATATTTTAACAGTGTTATCTTTGAATGAATACTTAATTAGTCTTATTTTACAATAATATTTATTATAAATATAACATTGGGTAAATTTCAGATACATGGAAAAATAATGAAATTTAGGATACAGATAGATCAAAGGTTGAATTAACGCAAGGATCATGATTAGACTAAAACCTTAAATATAACAAGTTAATAACAAGAAACATAATAGTTTTGTATTTGAATTAAGAATCCTAAGATACTCGTAGTAAGGTGATTGGCTCGAAGTGGGCTTGAAAGAGGTAACATACGGTAATGTTGCGAATTTCGTGGCGTACTTAACGCTGCTAAATGAGTTTTATTGCAGTCAACGCACGTCATGTGATCGATCGTACGCCGCCGAAACCACCGGAAGGATGCCAGCGTGTGCGTGTGTCGCATACCGGCTTAATATACAGTAAAAAAAAATATCAAAATCTGCTACTACTCTGTAAAAAGTTTATGCTGCGTTACCAAAAAATATACGTAAATTGAATATTAATTTAATGTTACAATAGAAAGTTTAAGTTCGAAAAAAAAAGTAAAATACAAATTAATTTTTCTAAATAATTTTTCTGTCTGGATCGCATCGATGGTGATATTTCGCAAACCTAACAGGCTTTTAACTCAAAGATAACATTAAAAATAAATACGTTTCAGGCATTTTTGGTTTTCACTATATATTTTTGATGTTCCGTGTGTTAAAAAAATGTGTAGATTAATTTTCTAAGTAACAATGAAGATATCCGGATAGTCGTTTGAAGTTTTCATTAGGTCCAAATTTAGATAAATTAATAAAATATTTAGCTTCTTTCTATTCCGTAAGTTTATATTTGTAAGCGGTAAATCTATTAAAAAAAGACTGGTTAAGTACGCTTTAGACTTGGGCATCGAGCGTTCCCTACAAATATTAAAATCTGATATATGCTGCAGATGATAAATTATGACAATTTTTGAAAGATAGTGGAAGAATTAGACCAAACAAACCAAAAGTCATGGATTTATTAATTACAAACTAACTTTTACAACTATTTTGCCTATAAAATATCTTAAGAATAAGGCTTGGAAGAAGGGTTCTTAATTAAATGGAAATTAATATTAACAATAACAACATTTACGTATTTTTTTTAAGAAATATATTTTTTTAGTTTTTGAGTGGGTAATGTAATTATTATTTAGTAATAATATTTAGATTGCTATTTTAAATATGATTTATTTGTACCTGACAGCACTTACTCGAATATAGTAGACCACATCGCTAATGTTATCTCGATAAAGGATAGTACATTATGAAACAAGTTTCAAGAGAATAGTTGCTAGCTTGGTAGTCAATTTTTATTCATTCGACGTGACACTAATGTGTTTTTCCATTTACTATTTTTGGAGAAAACAAAGAACTACGCATTCGCTCTAGGCTGTAGGCGTAATCGGTTTTCGTTGCCTATACTATACATGATACTTAGCACTTAACGCGACACATATAAATATAACAAGAGGATAACTATTTTAGAATTTTTTGACGTTCTAGAAATATTTTAGGGCATAGTAGGATTAAAAGGCAATCAACATACTTATCTTGCTGTACGTACAGCCTTTAAAATCATCATCACATCATCATCACCAGCCCTTTTACGTCCCCACTGCAGGAGCTCAGGCCTTCCTTATGGATGGTTAAGGAGGATGGGCCATGACCCTCCACGCTGGCCCAATGCGGATCGGAGGGTAAACGAGATGATGTATAAACATATTTAAATCAATGAAGCCGCAAAATTATCTGAGGAACATAAGGTAAACTATATTGCATTGTGCATAAGTTCATATGTGATGTGCTTTTATATCTTTGTCTCTGTCTTTATAAACATGGTTTTGATTAGGTAATTTATCTTGCGTTACATTAGAAGCTCTGCTCGATCCATATAGGGTAAGAGTATGATGAGATATCAATATATATTACATGGATGACGAAAATTTGCTCAGCAAGACGTATCGAGCAAGTTTTGTATCGATAAAAGGCTCTTAATTTCTTAAATATAATAAATAAGTCAGTTTGCCTTAGAAGCTTACGAATATCTAATATCGTTGTTAATCTGTAACGATTGATAAAGCAGTATTAATAAATACAACGTCAAACTCAGAGACCAACAAATTTCAATAGAATAAAATCGTGTTAAAAGGTAATGACGATTTTATTTAAATGAAACTCTTTGCTGCGACAGCTCTTATTTGATGCTGCGTTCGACGCTGTATTCTATCAGAATATCAAAGCAGATGTGTTTAGTGTGGCATTTCAACTTATATTAAGATATGGAAACGCGTAAGGTTTGCTAATGATGTACATCATGACGTACAGAAATCTAACAACTTCAAAACAGATTCTTCAATCATATCTTCTATGTAAATATTATCATAATTAACAAAGGACTTTCAGTTCTAAATATAAGTTTACATTTTTTTAAGGGTAAGTTTTAGTATAGTAGTCATTCCGTAATAGAAGAACTAAATAAAAAAATAATCTTCTCAAAAATTAATATAAAAAATCAAAGCTGATTCTTATATCATTTTTTAAAATTGAAATGATTTTTATTAAAATAACATCTTGTTTCTGTTTAACGAATTTAACAAAATCAGCATTGAATTACTTACTTAAATTAGTGTTAAGTTAGTTTAAAAAAAGGAAAACTTAGTAAAACCCCACTTTAAAACTGCTTTGTCGCCGTCCATTATTAAGACATGATAAGAGGGTGCGGTCGAGGTTTGCTTTACGTGGGAAAGTAAATAGTGTTTTGACCATCTCGTTTTCGGTACACATTCAATATGTTTACCGTTTTCGAAATACCTCATATTATGAACTTCCGTTATGATCTAGGAAATATATATAATTGAAAATATCCTGTAATGGAAAATGGCCAATTGACCAAACATTTATTGAGCCGTTGGTCCCTGCTGTACCCGCAGTCTTAATACCCACCAATCTGCACTGTACCCGCGTGATGGATTATGGCCATTCTCCCTGTTCGATTTGCTTTGATTCCATCCATAGGAAAGACCTGAACCCCAGTAGGTATAAAAATATTCTGCTGCTGATAGAAAATACGTCGATCGAAAGAATATCAGTGAATGTCTATTTTTATATAGACATTATATTTGAATTATATTTGATAAATTTTTCACTCATAATGCTTTACTGATAAATATTTTTAATGAAAAATGTTTAAATCTATCAGCCATTAGGTGTACCACGGGCTGGCGGTAATTTTAAGAATTTTTCATTAAAATTAAAACTAATGTCTGATAAAATACTTTTTTTAGTTCTGCTAAGAAAAAAATCATTAATTATGAATGTACAAACATACACTAATGGAATCCTTAAGAAAGACAGAGGTAATTGTTGTAGATTATTTGTTTCATCATCATCTTTATTAGCCTATTAATGTCACCACTGCTGGGGTACGGGTCTTCGGGATGAGACCGAATCGAATAGAGAATATAGGCTGTGCATGACTCATCTCGCGGGCCCAGTCCGGATTGATAGCTGTTATCGACTGCAGTTGCATCTGGGACTAACGGCTTAACTTTATTAATTTATCGGTCACCTATCCTATAACCGACCTTTGCAAAAGATGCTTAACTTCCGTATTGTAGACTAAACGCGCTTACCACTGCACCAACAAGCCATATTAGATGTGAAAACGGATGTAGTATCTTAATATTCCGTTCGATAATCTCTGTGTTCCAAGATGTTTATATCATAATACCTAGTATCAAGATGTTGACTCAATGTTTAATATACAAGCATAAATTTTAGACAATGCAGAATGCATGATTTTGCGGTATCACGTTTCGGAGATTTAGCCATCGAGGTTGGCTGGTGGCGCTATAATACACTTTTGATTGCGTATGTATCGAAAACGTTATGTTTTAGAAGATATTGTCGTCTATACTAATATTAAAAAAAGGAAAGTTTTGATGTTTGAAGTATGAATTTAATAAGACTTATAAGAAAATCAACGTAATCATCTCAAAAGAATTACGCTGCAGACCCGCAAGATCTCACCATAAAATATTCTCACTTACCCTTTTTGAAAATTGATGCGGCAATAGCTTTTGAATTTTCTGTTGAATCCGTATTATAACGGAAAAAGTATTATAACGGTAAACGTTAACTTTTTTTCTGTTTATTCAATGAAAAAAAAACCCTTGTTAACAAGTAAAACAGCACCAATTTGTTTGCAAGTACAATTTTTGCGTGTTCTCCTTTTAAGCCAGAAGCCCTCCCTCGCGTTCGCAAATGTAAACTCACCCATACTGTTTGTTTTAGCAGCTCGCAAATACAATCGTCGCAAAAAATATAAATCCAATACGATGCCTACTTTTCCGAGGTTAACAACATTTCATCACCTACACTAATTCGGGAATCGTATCAAGATCAAATATTGAAAGATAAATATATGTAGATGAAAATCTTATTTCCCTTCTTAATCATTTAAATACTTATGTCAATGTTTCTAGGTATACTTGCAAGCTGAGGGTAAATTGTAGTCTGCCTCATAATCATCCAAAAGGCCCTTTAAAATAACGTGTAAAGTAACCTAATCTATATGGTAAAAGTATTCTTTGATTTTAGCGGCCGCTTTATGATAACTAATTTTAGCATTCGCTCGTCAAAGACCGAATTGACGAGCGAATGCTAAAATTAGTTATCATAAAGCTAGGTATCCATTAGAGTTAGACCTTAAAATGTTCCGCTTGGAGCATATCGCTTTGACAGTTGTGATAGACAGAATTATATATGACGCAGCGGTAGTTATTGCAGTTGTCTATGAAGGAGATGGTCATGATATAACGAATGTCCAAAATATTGAATACATATTTAGACAGAGTATTGAATTCATAGTTCACCGTTTAGTCATTAACTGCAAGTTGTCTCTATTAGAACCGATCAAGTGAATACACAAGAAAAACCTCGACAAAAGCACTTATAAGAAAGTATGAAATACTTTTACAGCTATCTTTAAATGTCAATAAAATTAGCAATAAGGTATCTTCTAGTAAACATAGAAACAATATTACTGAAGAGACTTACTCGTCTTACCTCTCCTACCGTCTAATTTTGTGTCAAAAGTTTACAATTGATGAGGCATGCGGACGCTTCAAGCTTTGTCTAATTCCTAATTGGAGGAATCAGTGAAAATAAAAAATATTCGAATAAAGTTATTGCAAGCATTTTTAAATCTTCAAATTTTTTCCCTAGTAATAGGGCAGTTGCATTTGTTTAACTAATTTGTACATACAATACGTACATACACAGCATTCAGGCTTTCGCCACGATCTCCGCCGTCGTTCAGTCCACAGCCTTATAGTTTTGAAAGTCCCACCTACACTTGGGTGCATGCGGCCCACTC